AAATCTTCCATTTTGCTGGGACCTCCTCTCCCCCTCCCCCCCTCATACAGCATTTTGTCATGGGCGCCCCCCCCCCCCCCGAAACAAAATCCTGGCTACGTGCCTGCGCCGAGTATAGCTAACTTGTGTGTCATGCACACCCATATCAACAATTCCTGTGGAAAAAAAGTACTGCTAAAGTGGGTTTCAATGCTTATTCGTGCAGACCGGTCTGTCGTTAACTCTAGAAGTCTGGAATCTAAATTTTTTTGCGATCGGTGCTCTATTTGTACCAAACTGTGCCTCGAGGCTCACTGTGCTAGATTCTGCCAATATTTTCTGAAATCTAACGGAAATCTCGCACCAGCCTTGTGCCGCACGTTGATTTCCCTTTTTCCTCAAAACTGGAGCTAATACTAAATCGAGCTTTGCCGCATGCCGTGTGTCTTCGGTGACGGGCACATGCGAGCGTTCAAAAGTGCCAGATGTCGACTGGAATAATCCAGTAATCAAATCGTGCTTCGTGCCAAAGAGTGTCATTCTAACTTTCCAAAATATTCTTTTACATTTGACGTTTGTGCTACAGTGTAGACCGCATATAACGTATGTCGCGGGAGTCGCGAAAATCCGCACTAAAAGCGGTACCGCGTTATAACCAAAACATCAATTTTTCAGGCCAAAATACATGCCATGAGACAACTTACCTTTGTAAAACAATTTATTTTATGTGAGATGAAAAATAAAGCTTAGTTTGAGGAAAGTCTTTATTTCACCAGACCAGTACACTTCTCTCTCAAGTGTGTCACAGATTTTGAAAGAAATGAGCGGCTTTTGCCTGGCGCAGCCTTTTAGCGGCGTCGCGGGTTGCGGACGGACGTTGCGAGCGTTCAGGATTGCTAACCCTAATCACTTTTCTCCGGAGATGAAAACGCGTGAAAATTCGGATCCTTCATACGGTACGCGCCAGTAATACCTTGAACTTGAGCACACGCATGAAATGCGCCAAATAAGAAATCCGGGCGATGTTCGAGCACACAAATGCTTAGAAATCACCACTGTAGTCGAAGTAAACAAACACGACGACACGGGCGTTTCTGCCGTCTTGAGAGCGCCGCCACGACATCGCCGCTCGAGTAGGTGGATCTTCCCTTCTAGTACGTGCTGGGTTATCATAGCGACACACAGCGAAAATTCACAGTAAAGGATAGCGCTTTTACGCGGAACGATGAGATGAACGCCGACGACGATCACAACGTTGATCACAACCGATGCCATGTTTGCGGATTAGAAGCAGCCGGCCCGCGACCGGCATGCGACGCGCGCGAACACTTCTCGACCTGCAATTGGATTTGGTCTGTCGTTGCGGTTGTTTCGGATGTTTTCAAGGAAGCGGAGGGACGCACGCACGTGAACGACACGTGCGTGCGTCCCTCCGTCGCTAAGGCAACTGAAGCCTCTCTCTTCGCTTCTCCCGCTTCTTCGAGCAACCTCCTTGCCCCGCGAGTGCCGCTTGCGCAACGCTTGCGGCTCGCGCCGTCAGCGCCGTTATCTAGTGTCGCACAGGGAAGCGTGCTCGCTGCTCCGGTCGTCGGCGCGGTCGGCGGGCTGTGCCAGAAACCGCACTATAACCGGTATTTCCCTTCGCGCGCCTGCGTTTTAAGCGGTATGTACTTACATGGAGTTCTATGGGAGGCGAACCGGTGGTTTAAAAAAACCGCGTTATACCCGGTCCTGCACTATAAGCGGTTACGTTGTAAGTGGTCTATACTGTAGTGGGTTAGTCAGGCACATATTGCGTGCCGCCCAGGGGGAACGGGAGCACTGCAGGGAAGTGGCATCAGCGGAGAAAACCTTCCGCGGAGAAAAAAATTGCATGCCCCTATGCCATGCTCGATTCCACTTCTCTCATTGCGCTTCCTTATTCGAGACGGGCAGACGACGACGGTCCTCCGGTCTCCATGCTGTCGGAGCAGAGTTTAGGCTGTGCGCCGAGGAAGATTAGGAGACTCTGCTCCTTTCACTCTTAAAGGCCGACTACCAGACTGGAGATTCTGCAAGGCAGAAGATCCTCCTCCCCATGGGGGAGGAGGAAGCAGGCAATGCTGGGCAGGGCAGAAAGGGGAGAGGAGGAATCGGGAGAAAAGTGGAAAGCGCGAAGTGTACGTCGGCCTTTAAGCTGAGACTACTGTGGGGGCTACATGCCCGCCGGAACGATTGTCCGCCTCCCTTTTATCACTCAACTCGGTTTTCCGCGCCTGGGTACGGCTGTGAACGCGACGACGCAGCGAAAGAGAAGCATACGACTGGTCGAACGAGGACGCAGCTTCTACCGCTGTCTCAGCTTAGGGGTGAAGGGAGTATAGAACGCGCAGGGATGTCGGAAGGCCGAGCTCTGGTTCTAATTATTAGTTGGCAGATGTAGAGCTAGCTGCCTCCGTCTCTACTCGCTCTTCAAACACGGCAGACGCGTAACTCTGGACGCCGGCGTTGGGCAGTCAAACCCATTCGACGAGTGCAGTGGAGACGAGGGCAACTGGCTTTATGCCTACCCCCTAATCATTTGAACCAAAGCTTTGTGCTCTGACATCCCGCTTGCTCTTGTCTGCTCTCCCTCAGTTTCGCACAGCATAGTCACCGACGGGACAAAAACGGCAGGGAGGACTTTCGGTTGTCCCGCCTCCACCGCAAACTTTCTGTCTTCAATATCGCTTCGTCATCTCGCGAGCTCGGGACGTGCTGCAAGCCGGGCATCCTAGGGAAGCACCCCGTCGTCGTTGTCATCCCGTCTATGACCATAACGACAGCATGTTTCCCTGGGGAAGTTCATCTCGAGTCTCGAAGGAACTGAGAAAAACTTCCTTGCAGTGTGATTGCTGCTATAGCTAAGAGTAGCTTTTCACAAACGGAAGCCGACGCAATCTCTTGCGTCTTCTGCAACTAGATGCGCCTCGCCCTGCCGCTTCACCACAGCGCAGCTGCACGCGCGGGGAAAGCAACCTTTTTAGAGCGGAACTGCCTGCGCATGCGACTTGGGTTTGAAAGAAAGATTCCCTACCCTGTAGGTGTATTCTACAAGTACAGTAGACAGTGGGAAAGGATGGCACATTTGACGTGCCACCTGTGGCAGAGGCCGTAATTGTTTTTACGGCGCTGCGGCGACTTTCTGGCTGGATTTGCGGCGTCGGACGCGCAGAAAGTTTTAGTCCGCACCTCTACTGAGGTGGCACGTTGGGCCTGCTCTGCGCACCAACTCTATGCCGACGGCCAGTGGAGGGTGAAGGGGAGGAGTGGAAACTACCGAGAAGAGGCTACAAAACGGGTAGCTCCTAGTACAGCAGGGTAGATGAGAAAACCCTGCAGGCTAGGTCCCTGGCACTGCTGGACCGCCCAATTTGAAGGGAAAAGGCACAAACAATCATCAATCTGTCATCGACAGCTGTGGGGCCTGCGCTTGCCTTGGGAAGATTTTAGAGGGAAACTGAAGCTGTTCTCTATTTGAGGAAGAACACTTAAATTGTTTTCATTTGGATTCCAGGATCACGAATATCGAGATTATACTTCATTTTGGTGCACGGAGGCTGTACAAAATCATTTTCAAACTACCGCCAAAGCCCCTCCTTCCCGAAGCAAGACATCATACCCAGAATTTTGGAATCTCAGCCCTCGCGCATCTTCAACGCCTATCGAAGCTACGCAAGCGCACTCTCACTATTTTCACAGAGGTCAGGAAAAGACGTCACGACTGGTGTCGGTGCGACGGAATATACCTGGCAAGCATGCGATTGCACGCGCTGCCCACACAAGCGACACGCGCTTGGTGGCCGAAAGATCTGGGTATGACGTAACGACTGGTCGGAGGTTTTTCTTGTTTTCTCGCGTTAAGCCATATCCTCGGGGGAAACGAACGTGATATTCAGATTCATGAGATAAAAATACTTTCGGATCCAAACTCTTTTTCCTGACCAACCTTCCCTTTAACGTATGAGGAACGTTGCATCAACGGATGAGCCACATTGCATGTTTGGACACCTCCCGAAGAGAAGGAATACGAGGCTCGCCGTGTAGAAGCAGGGCGTGAATGCTTGTGCTCGCTGAGCTGTCGCCCTCGCTTCTTTGCACGCTGTCGCGCAAGCTGCAGATTTTCTTTTAATCCCACCAGTTTCTGTTGCCACGGTAAAGGTATTATTTTTCTTTAATTCCCGCATTTCTTCAATTTCACGTAGGGTGCGTAATTTACTTGTATATTTTAGGGGTACGGCTCTGGGGGCTGCAACGAATATATGTAACTGTACGAAACCTTAATTGGATCGAGCAGTTGTCAGATACAATTGTTCGGTTCCCAATTAGAACCAACATAATGTTTCAGCCGAAATCTTTGGGAGACGTCGAAAAGACTGCATGTATTAAATATTGCCACTAAAAGGTGTCCGTGTCGAGGTTCTGACTGTTGTAACTTAGATTGCTGGTGAAGCTTTAATAGCTAATAAGCGCTAAAAAGTGGCACACTATTACTTGCAAGGTTGGTACCTTGTTGTCTTTTTAGCTTTATCTTAGCAGCAGCGTCGTGCCTCGTGTTAAGACAAACTAAGGACGATACAAGCAGTTAAACAACTGTAACACTTTACGGCAAGACAAACGCATCTAAGTTATAGTCCACTTTCTTTTCCCGCCCTCGGGAAGCTTCCTTTCTCATTTGCTTCGGGATCTCCAAGGTCGGCGCCCACGATTTACCGTGCTCCACTCGCGTCTTGACCCTTGTTCGGTGGGGAGGCGGCAGTCTTGGCATTGTCATTCTTGTACTCTCCGAAAGCCTAACAAACACAGGGCGTGGCGGGTTCGAGGATCTCATTACGTCGCAACCGACGAGATTGAGGCATTGACCAATAAGAACGCCGAAAAAACCCACCGGAAGACTCGCGAGTGAACATAAGCCACACCTTGTGTTTTTTTAAGTTGTCCGGGGGTACAGAGGTTGCGTTGCTCTTGAGGTCAGAAAGTCTGACAGTCTGACTTTTGTGCAGCGCCGGCTGGGACCAGCGGCACCACCCCGGTGAGGACGCGCACATTCTCTGAGCAAGTGGAGGAGAGGAAGCAGCGGGAGGGCGAGGAGGAAGAGGCCGCCCCACCCCCTCCCATGCGCGAGGGAGAGCCGCCACGCCGCAGGGGACGGGGCCGGGGTCGTGGACGCGGGCGGCGCCCCCTCAGCTTTCAACGCGGCGGTGCCATGCGCGGAGCCAGGAGCGGCAGGGCTGCCGCCGAGCTTCAGGCGTCGCGGAGGCAGCTACGTGAGTTTCTTCATAGATCTTTTTCTCTTTCTTTTTCTTATTTATCGATATGGTGGGTACATTAAAGACCTGTACGAGACTTATACAGGTGCACGCGTAAACATTCATACACAGCATCCACAAGATATTGTGCAGACGTAACGAAGTAAAAAACATTACTCCATTTTATGGCCTGTCGAATAACGGTGTTGACCAACAGAAACAAATGCATTGCATAGTTACATATTGTAGATGAATAAGAAGAAATAGCATACTAACATAAGAGCCAAATCACAAAACACTCTAAATATTAAAAAAAAATTGACAGAAAATTTAAGAAAGAGTAAGTAAAAAACCAGAGACAATGCTCGTCGTTCGTGTTGTTTTTCAAAAATTGACAGCCCTGCGAAGTGGACACAATGATGACACTGTGCAGCTAAGTTAATGATGCTTGCAAATGACTCAAAGATTGAACTATTTACCAGCGACTGAGGTAGGTGGTTTGGCTCTTCAATTGCGCGAGAATGTAAAAAGCTTTTAAACATGTTATTATTACTTTGAATCTGCTTAACTACTTTATCACGATTAGTTCACCTCGAACGTGCCCGGACTACTGGTTGTAGGGGGCAAACCTCGTGTAATGTGAAGAGTGCCGCATTTATAGCGTACGAATCTAGCAGGACTGCTATTTGAGCCGCTAAACGAATTTCGGCAATGATTCGTTGGGGTATGTTGCTTGAATCGCATCGCCGATTTGCACGTTTCCAGGGCAGTCTCTCGATTTCCACCCAGTTGCGCTGTAAAAGTGTTGCGGTGTTTCCTGCCACGATTCTAGCGGTAGCTTATTAGCAGACGTGGACGCAACAGACGCCCGTCTTGGTGAAGGCCGCCCTCCAGTTCGATAGTCCACAGAAGCTTTGGCAGCCGGAAGTTTGGACGTCGTAACGACGGCGACACCCGCGTCCGCTCGTCTTTTTTGCCGGAACTTTTGCGGTTGACGGCCAGGATCGCGGTGTCCGACAGAACAATGCGCCTGCTCCTACGACGTAAGTCGTTGCCACTTTGGGATCGTACTCTACGCACAGGCGATGAGGACACCAGACGTAGCGGTGGAAGACGGGTTCCAGATATGGTGGTTGTGATAAGCGTTCTGTTTGACAAGAGCGCCCTGCTCCTCCGTTTCAGCTCGAGGAGTGCCACCACCCGCGCCACCCGAGGAGACGCCCGAGGAGCCGCCGGCACCCGAACAGGCCTCCCGCACGGGCGGCGTGAACCGGCGGACAAGCGTGCTCTTCCGGAAGAATCGGGTGTCCATGGGGAGGGCGCCGGCCGGCCGCGGGGGGCGCCCGGGAAGACCCTCTCGCCGGGCAAGCCTGGACGTGGCCGCTGAACCAAACGCCGACGCCTTCGCCCCGGCAGAGCCGCCCCCGCAGCCGCCGGCAACCCCAGGTGAGTGTGGGTCCTGGGCCTCGCGAGCACGAGTGGTGAGCCTCACGATCGTGGCTGCGGACCTCTCGGGGCTCGGCCAGCCGCCACTGTAGAGGCAGGTTTGCGCATCTGCGCTCGAATGCGTCGTATTCCCTCGTAACCGCTTACGGCGTGAGAACTTACCGGCACCACCCGTCGGGTATCCCTGGCATACTTTCGACCAGCACATGCGTAAACTCGTATCCATACGAATAAACTCGTGGACTGAATGTTTTGCAGTATTTGCGAGACTAAATCTATGCACTGTCTTAGAAAAACAGTCACTTATAGCTGATGTTTTGTGTTTTCAAATAAATTCGACAAACTCCGAAAAACGCCCGCCGGTGAAATTTTTTGTTGATTCGGATTTTTACGATAAACTCCAGATGTCAATGTACGGTATTTACACGATTGTAAAAGTTGACTGGAATGTAAGTCAACCCCACCCCCCCCCCCCCCCCCCTGCACGTATTGCACATCAGCAAAAAAAAACTTTAGAAAATTTTACTGCGAACACATGAGAATGGCAAAGTATCTGTTTCGAAAGCCCAGCCTCCAACACATGATGTATGCCTTCTGGCGTGCTTTGGCTCCACATACGCACGCGAGGTGCGAGAGATGCCTTGGCGTTACCAAAACTAGGAAGTTCACGCTTGGGGCGGGACAACTGAAGCTGCTCCCTGTCATTCTCACTCCGTCCGCTACTAGACTAAGATTTGTTTGCACTGGTGATGTCAGCTTCGTCGTCATCTCTGCTACGTTCTCGAAGCACGTCGTCAACGCCGTCCAACGAAATCTTGCACTTCGCTAATTAGAGCATCAACTACATCCTCCACGCTTGCTCGGCAATCGCGTTGCACGGCACGGGTAGAGATCAATTTTGCACTTTTGCGGCATGCGTTGCAAGCCTGACCTCCATCTCTGGGAGGCATCCCCACCTATACAGAGTTCGGCCTGCGGAAGCCTCTTCGTTTGCTGTCACAGTTTTAGATCGCGCGTCATTGCAGACTCCGCTGGAGCATCACCCGCTCCGACGGGTCAAACTTGCATCCAACAGCGCAGTTGTTGGTTGCTTCTGGGTGAAGAATGGCCATAAACGAGCACCGAAAACCTAAACTGCCCAGATCACGCGTGTCAATTCAAAAATACTTAGCGCCCAAGCATGATCTTGACACTTTATCAAACGACGTACGACTGTGAATCGTGCAAAAAACTGTGAAGAGAAGTTGCAGGAAGTGAGCCGTGAGGCTGTTCCAGCGGCCTCCGGAGTGGCTCTTGCAAGAAGTGGCGCCACCCCCGGGAGCTGGGTGCACCGTGCGCTGTTCACTGCCGTACATTCCGGTTAATTTGCAAATCACTATCACTACTTATTCTCGTTCGCGCAAATAAAATACATAAAAAATTTAAAAAAAGGCTCGAGGTACACCTAAGCACTTCTTATGAGTTGTAAATGTAAAAGCATGCATGCCGCTCTTCCGCTCTCTTATTCCGTCTGCAGTGTACTTGCGTTGACGGTCAAGCGCGTGCTCTAGCTCTCCTCGGCATCCTCACCTTATCCGTGGAGCGGTGGAGCCACTGCCTCGCGGACACGCAGCACCATGGGGTGGCAGTTGTTGAAAGTGACGTGCAGCGGCCAGTGGGAGCCTCGTTCCTTGAAACTATGACACGCGCCAGCCAGTGGGACCGAAGCCGAAATCCATCAGCTTCACTCCGCTCCTTTGGGATCGGGAAAACTAGGTGCCGTTTAGCTAGGCTTTTGACATGGTTTCAAAGCTGGGAGCTGGCTTCACTTGGAGAAAGGAGTTTCGTTTGGCACGGCTTCAAAGCTGATGACGTCGGGTAGCTTTTCATGATGATGCTTTCTGTCCTATTTTTAAAGCATTAAAGTTAAAGCAATAAAAAATTGTAAAATGAGTGCACAGAATAATGCAATGCTACAGGTACCGCCGGCTGTACTTGTAACAATCTGAGGTGTTCTTGATATTGGGATTGTTTCGTTTTTGTCAACAATGCAATGCTCTGGTTTGATTATAAGTCACCCCCCCCCCCCCTCTTCAGATTTTCAGAAATTGAAAAATGGGTTGACCTACATTCCTGTAAATACAATACCAATGCCAGGGGGGAAAAAAAATATGGTATTTTAAGTTTGGTCCTGAGAAAGTGTCACCCCAGTTTTCTTTCAAATCTCGGACAATTCACAAAAGGGATCTTACCTCTTACCGTAGAATGCCGCGCACCTGCCCATTTCACCACTAAGCGCCCATACCCAAACTCGTAAGATCCGAGAAAATATGCACAGCACATTGATTTGTAAAATTGATGACCGGACAAGCGCCCATCCCCCATTTTTTCGCAATTATCTCTAAATTTTGAGTGGGCGCTTCCCCGGTATTTTACGGCACCTCGTGCACTCATTTTGGGACAATGGGTCGTTGTGCTTTGGGGTTATAGCAAAGGCCACCATTCCGGTTTCCATATTGGGCCATACTATTTTTTTTTTCTTTTTAGGGGAAGGAAGAGTTATGTTTTTGTAACATTGAAAGCTACAAATCATAGAGATTGCATAGAGGGGGGAAGAGGGGGTGGGCAGTTGAAGCTCCTATATTACACTCTTTACCACTGCACCCCGTGCAGTCGAGGAGTAGGTTAACGGATAGGATGGGATAAATACCAGCTTCCCAGCAACTACCTTCGGGAGTTTATTGATTGTAAGATATTGACGTTTATCGAAGCAGCACTCGTTTGCAAATTTTGTGTATTGGGACAAATTAGTATTGCCAATGGAAATGGCGTTAACGCAAAATCCAGCCGAAGAAATGTGAATTGATACAAACGTCGTTCTCTTGAATCAAGCATACTATATTATATATTTTTATTTTTGCGAAATATAAAACACTGCAAAATTAAACTTTGAATTTTAGAGAATTGTTAATCTTACAAAAACAAGATTGAACTCTGAATTTTTGGTAAAAAAGAAGCTCTGAAAAAAACCCTCCGAATTAACGAAAAATAAACTCAGAAAACACGAAATCCTACTTATAACATGTCCGAATTATTTAAAAAGAAGCTGCCATTGAACCTATACTTTTTTTTTAACTAATTATTAACTAATTCCTTTCCCTCCCCACAACAGAATGAAATGACCTGCTGCTGGGTTACATGGCACATATCAGCAACCTTGGTCTTCTTAGAATGCTCTGTCTATCATTGTCACGTAATCGACATCATACTGTCTTGCGCTGGCTGCAGCTTGGCTCATATTGAAAGGTGCCAACTACAAAAGTGTTTTAGCACAATAAAAAACGAAAATCCCGTGTTTTCTCGACGCAAAATGTCCAGAGTTACGTGTATTTTAAGAGAGGATAACCAGCAAAACAGGGCAAAGATTAGTACAAGAAACGAAAGCACGAAAAGAAGAACTGCGTTAGGAGCAACAACCTATCGTAATTGTCCGATTCTAGCGCACCCCCCAGCTCTTTCGCGCACCCAGATTTTGCGCCCAAGAACAACAGTTCTAATGTGCTCCCAATTTCGGTTTTGTGTCTAATTCTAACGCGCAGGCATACATTGGTTACATTTTTCTCCCAAAAAATGTGCACGTCGGAGTCGAGCGAGGAGGGTACGCGACGAGAGGCATAAGATGGGCTTTCTAGCTAATCGCTCCGCACAACATTAAACACTGCACTGATTAAACGTGGCTAGAAGGCCCTCGGGTGTAAGCTAAGGTCTTGCTCGTCCCCTTTCCCGGACAGTGGCGAAGAAGCGAGGCCGCTCGGCCAGCCTGGCCTCCTCCTCCGGCCTGGGCCTGCCCCCTCCCCCCGCCAGCAGCTTCCCCCCCGCAAGCCCACTCCCGCAGACGGACAGCTTCAAGGTCTACCGCTCTTCCAGAAGTGAGTCCCAACTCCCGCACTCGCACCCGATGCTTCACGGGCCTTTTTCCGTTTGCCCTCGTCCCCATCCTCATCGTTTACCCAACATTGCTTTCAAAAGAAAAAAAATTGAGCAGCGTACAGTCGCAGCAACGGCTGCGACATGTCACGGCAACCCCGACCATATGACACAATTTCTGTTCAAGAAACGTAGGAGAGACGAAACGAGGATTGACAGTCGTGGTAAAAGTGAACGCCTCCCGGTTGTGCTGCGAGGGCGAAGGAATTTTTTGCGATTCGAGGCGGTGACGCCCATGTGGAAGAGGTCCGTAGATCTTCTCCCTTTTTCGTTTGACCCCGGCCCCATGGTTCGCACACACGAGTTTTTGCCTCATCAGTGTGAAGCATTAATTTGTCACCACGCCACGCCATGAATGCTGTTTTATAACAGCATTAATGGCATGGTGTTATAGTGGCATTGGTGGTAGCTTTTCATGATGGCATTACTGTATTTACTCGAGTAATAGCCGCACTGTTTATGAGGAAAACCTGAGGGTTCGCTTTTCCGCAGAGCATGCGGCTTGCCTATTACCGCGATTGTCAGCGTGATTATAGTGGTTTACAGGACAGAGATAACGTCTTCGCGCAAAGATACCAACTGTGAAGATTGCATTTGTATGGTGAATCGTGTTCGCTATGTTATTTTTGCGCAATGCAATGATTGGCTGTATATGTGCTCTGCGGTAAAGCAGACGCAAGGTGCGGCTATTACTTGAGTAAATAGTGTGGCTATTACTCGAGTAAATGCGGTATATTGTTTCATAATGGCATTCATAGTTTCATGACGTTATTAATAGTTGTATTTTAGGGGCGAAGCTCCTTAGGGTCTAGCCTTGTCCGTCTGTCCGTCCAGCCGGCGTCCGTGCTCACATAGAAAAAATGTTTGCGCAGTCGACAGGATTCGAACCTGTGCGGGGAGACCCCAATGAATTTCCAGTCCATTGCCTTAACTACTCGGCAACGAATGTGGTACGAGTAGGGGCTCTGAGATGATATGGTAGCTCAAGAGCTGGGGTTTCTGTCATGGATGAAACGTTGCATGTAGCCGCTGGCGCTGTGGTCAAATGCGTATATAATCGCGTTAAACTTTGCATGCATTGGCTCAACGTTTATAGACGAGAGGACGCTGCGGTCAAATGCTCAAATGTGTATATAACCACGTTCCATACCACACATTCCCTTTCTGACATGAAACGTTGACTTAAGCGGTGGAGACGCGTTCCCACGGCTTCTAGCGGATCCGAGCTGATCCGCTAGAAGAACCACTGACTCTGCATTTCACTGACCATAAAGCAGTAATATTGAAGTCGAAACGGCAACTCGGATCTCAGCACTACCTACGGGCAATAAAAAAATCAGCACCATCAGCGCTACCTATAAACAATAAAATCAGTATCATCAGCACCACCGGAGCTTTGCCCCAATCAACATCATTCATCACGTGGAGATGCAGTCATTTTTCTAATGACATTATAGTGGTGTTTCATAATTAAATTATTGGCATTGCTTCGTAACTGCACCAGTGGCATCGCAGTTCGTAGCTCACGAGGCTTCCGACGGCTATTGCGTTGCAGACGAGCAGGCTTCGGATTCGGATCGGGAGTCGTCGAGCGGGTCTTCGGCCTCGGCATCGAGCAGCCATCCCTCTTCGGATGGACCGGAGGCCACGGACCCCGACGACGACGACGATAGCCACGCGCCGGGTAAGTCTCGCGGAACCCCGTCGCCAGAGCTGGGTTTATCGAAAGCTCGAAGCCTTCTTTATTGCGTGTTTCCAGTGGCTCTGCCTGTGTACCCACCACTGAGTCTAAGTATTGGTCCATTCCGTTTCCAAGGCAGGCTCAGAGGGATACTAGACTCCCCCGAAACAATAAAAACAAAACAAACTAGATCTTCGTGTTTAGCCAACATACAGTCGGTCTGCCTTTGAGATGTGGTGACACCGGCGCCTGCCGTACACGAGAAATTTAGCCAATACGGCGACACTGGTAGCCTGGGGTCTTTAACGTGCATTGTGCAGTAGCGATGCACTCTTGCATGCCGGTAGGATGCTCATCCAGACAGAAATGGGTAGGGTTTGGAGATTAAGGGGGGACATGGGTCTTCGGAGCCAAAAACTTCCTAAAACTGCATTCTTCTGAAAATGGCGATGGCTGTTGTTCTTCTGAATCTACCAGGCTTATAATTTCGTGAAGGAATATTTGAGCTATAAATCAATTTATAATTTCTATATGGGCTGTATGTGCATTGAAGTTGACTCTAAAACATTGTTTTCACAAAACACAATTTTTGGACTCATTGAAAATTTACAGGAGGGATATCTCGGCATCTAGAGCAGATAGAAATATAATCTTTCTTGAAATGTGTTGCTAAATGTGTAAAGCATACAATGTTGAGAGCAGATTTTTTAATACAAGTCTAGAAAAATTTCTATTTGATCTTTTCCTATATTACTTGTTAGATATGCATTGAGCACTGAAATTCAATGTGTGGTAAAATCCCTAATAATGAGTTTATCTTAAAAGTGCTTCCAACATTGTATTCTCTACACTTTGTAGTATCTAGCCATGTGTTAAAAAGAATATTTTGTTGAGCAGTTTTTTTTTCTATCGTTTTTCCAAACAAAGGTAGGCAAGTTTTAATTATTTTGAGGACAATGCTACTGACCGAGAAAATGACCAGATATATGAAAAAAGCACAAAAAGCTGAACAAGCTTGTGCAGTTTCATTAAGTTTGGTCATAAAATAAGAAAAAAAGGTCCAAGACCAGTGTTCTCCCTTAAACCCAGGGCTCTGCAGCGTGAGCGTTTGCTTCACGCACTGGTGCATTGACTCGACACACTGCCACTGATCCGCCCAATTCTCACAAAAGGTAATTTTAAAGGATGGAACACATGTAAAAACAAAAGCTTTCGCCGATGAAAAATGATTTTTTCACGTAGGTAGCGAGACATAATTTTTAGTATTGCAACATGCTTCATTTCGTGCGTATATCTTAAGACGACGTGCTTATACAAAAGCATGATTCGAAAAGTGGTTTCTGATATTGTCTAAATATGTTCATAACTGAACTCTACAAGCTCTAAGCATTCTAAGAAGTCCAAGATTAGATTGATACGCGCGCAATTTCCCAGTTAGAAACGGGATCAAAAATAGCAACACGCCGGGCCCTCTGGAAATGGGTGCAGACACCAGTAGCACCATCAAATGGGCAAAAACTATAGTCGGTGAGAGGTTGAAAGTAAATTGGAAGCTCCTCCCACCTCTTTCCAACTTAGCGGAGTGGACGCTGAAGAGGAGGCGACCTTCTCTCCCACGTTCACTCTGCCAAAGAGGAGAGAGGGGGGAGGACCTTCCAATTTACTCTTAAAGGTCAACTCCGCTTAATTTCAAAAATTTTGAGATAGTGGCAGATTTTGCTTTTTGAAGCACTCAAAAACAATTCCCAATCCCTTGTTTCGCGAAAAATAAAATATTTTTCGTGTAATTTTACTCTAGCCAAGATCACAAACCGAAACCGAAACAGTGGCGAAGCCAGACAACATTGTATATTCGGCATCACTAAGCATGTACACCCACGTGATATACAAGGGGAAGAAGGAGCTCCCCTCTTATCAGGATCCTCCTTTGTGCCTCCTGGATTAGCACAGGCGTCGCTATTCACATCCCAGAAGATTATAGAAGATTAACCTGTCACTCAAAATTCTTACAAAAGCAGCTTCCCTCTCCTCCTTTTACTTGATGTTCAAAAGTATGCGATGTAACACAAGCTGCGCTCAACGAGGCGATCGGCTTATCAGTAGTATCAATAGTCGAGCGCCGGGCCGGCCGAGCGCGTCACTCACGTCTTTCACGGCGCTGGCGCCACCCGTGCTCTCCCCGGGAAAGAAAACAAAATTGAAAAAAAAAAAAAGAAGCTGTACATGTTTGATGACGTCGCGGACGTGCCGGGAGAAGGAATTTGGAGGAAGCGGAAATGCAGCCGGGCAGTGTTGTCTGGCCCGCACGTCTCATCCAAAACCAGCGGATTCGTGCTTGTCAAACTTTGACAGCGATTTTAATGAACTTCTAGGCGGAATTCCGTCGTAATATTTGCCATGGGGGTTTTGTAGATGATAACAAAGAGAACTGTATAGTTTTGCACTACTGGAAAAGAAGCGGAGTTGCCCTTTAACCTTTCGTCGACTATGTTTGCGAACGATGGCTTCTTGCGCGGACAGGGTGGCGGGGGTTCAATGGCGGAAAAATTTCCCAATCCGTGCGATTCGTGTTGGGAAAGGGATCCCTCGAAATTGGCCGTCGCGCATGCAAAGGATCCACCCAAATGCAATGCTTGCAGCTGGCTCAATATACCAATACTTAGGGATTCTGGAGTGCAAAGTTAGAAGAGAATACTGGAATTTGTTTATAAAAAAGCAGCGTCTGGGCGTAAAAACAGACGGGATGTTCCCGCACTCTGCCGTATTCGTGCGCTTTGTCCCGGCTATGAGACGATCGGTCCTCAGCATATTTGAATGTTTGGCTGCATCGACGACGCCTTCATTCTATCCGATTTCACGTTCGGAAGCCGCCGATTCCGTCGCCGCGACGCTATTCCCGACACAGAGTTTGGTTCTCCGGTAAATGTCCTGTGGCTCTAGAAGTGGGGGGGGGGGGGGGGGGAGCGCATGCTCGGCGGTGGGTGTCCTGGATCGGGGTGTCTGGTGTCCGGAATGCAGGCTGGTCTCAGGCGAACGGTTGGGAGGAGCCCCTCATCCCCTTGGAACCCCTGGACCTGGTGTGGGCCAAGTGCCGGGGATACCCGTGGTACCCAGCCCTGGTCAGTGTCCCGAGCATGCTGCACGATCCCCGGCCCGGTGGGGGTGTTGGTCGGGTAGACTTGCGGTGGCTGGAACGCGTGCCCAACCCGCGTGTATACCGCATCCTCGTTTTCGGTCCCTGAAGTTTGTCCTGATGCAGCAGGCAGCGTGGTCCTGAAGCATAGCGTGGTTGGCAGACGCCCGTTCAGCCGCAGGTTTCTCTCTGGCTCGATGGCTTGCGGATGCTTCAGTAGACGGGAGTAGGGACGCCGCGGTGGCAACGCCCACATTGGGTCGTGTTTTTTTTTTTTGCCTGTGACTCGTTCGGTTGACGGTTGATATCGCGACGTTTAAAGTGGCAACGTGTCGCATCGCGAGATCGGTGTCTGCGACAAGACACGTTGCCAGTCCGACACCGCTTTCAACGTGCAAGCGGGACAGGACAGTAAACGCAGGAGGTGAAGGTGCTTTCCAGGCACCTTAGTAGGTAAGAGCAATCACGAAAACTTGGCTGTCTTCTTAAGTGGCTAGCGTGCGTTTCTGGAGAACATTGTGCTTGCGAATTCCTCCCAGAAGCCCTCTAGGATTACTCTAATTTAGTTGCAGTTAGTGTTTAAAAATGTGTGAATTATGGGAATGCGAACAAGTCCCATTTCCACTCCCCTTTCGTGTCTGGGGCCCAGTGCCTCTTTTCGTGCCAGAATTAAAAATTTATTTCTCTTTCGCCTATGCTTGGGAACGACTTTCTGGGGTAGCTTACGAGTTTTTCTTAGCACTTAAGCAATTTAAGTGCGCAGGTATATCCTTGAGTAGTATGTGTCAAAATGTTGGAAGAGGTGTAAAGTTAGCCAATGTTTTACGATTCCTGGAATGCCAACTGGAATTCCCTGCGAGCCAAAGGAACAAACCAGCGCTACCCTCAAGTGGTTGTTTCTTCCGCAGGCAGGCGAATTGTAAGGTGTGGCACGATATTCTCAGTCTACAATTGCATCCTATTTCTCTCGCTGGGTACAAAGCCGAGTTTTACGATTGGCTACCTGCAGTTACGTCAAAATATTTGGGCAGAAATGATAACAACTTCCTGCCTTGTGGGGTACCACCTGTGGGGAGCAGCATCAAGCAGATGGTTTTTTCTTGGTTACCTCTCTCTGCTTTGAAAAAAAACATTTTTTCGGCTTAATTTTTTTTTTCTGAAACCCTTATTTACGAAGTTTAAGTATGATAAATACACTACCTAAAGACATTTTGTGAAAAGTTTTAATGCACTCTGTTCATTGGTTTATTTTTAAATATTTTTATGCTTCAGTAGCGCTCAAAATCTCCTTGTAGAGAGGACAAAAAAAAAAAAAAGATTGAGGTACACCTAAGCATTCCTTATGAGTTGTGAATGCGAAAGCATGCAAGCCGCTCGTCCGCTCCCTTTTTCGTCTGCTGCATACTTTTTGTCGCCGGTCGGCGCGTGTGCTCCCCTGGTGACCTTGGACACTCCGCGCTGATGGAGACTCAGCGCCATAGAGTGAGCAGTCCTGGAAACTGACGAGCGCAGCGGCCAATGGGAGCCCCGTCGACGTGCGCCAGCCAATGGAACCGAAAGAAACTATCTGCCGTTTTCGCGCTTCAGACTGATGACGTCAGCTCGCTCCATGAGACAGTTAATGCTTTCACATTAAAAAAGTTGGAAGCGCCCGAATTTCAGTGCCCCCTTTGGGGTCATAGGATGGAACGGCTAGCCAAGAGGTAAAACGGCCATTAGTATACCTTTTGTACGTTATATTACATGCCAGTCTTGAAGGTGACCTGTTGCCAGGACACTACCGTTCTCGATTCTTTGCTAACTTCGTTGTCGGCTACAAGTTGGGGGAAAGCTGTGTCGTGAGAAGATAGGGTTCTGATGGGAATCCCCAACTGCTTTTTCTTGAAAAACAGGGAGAAAGAGGGATGGATATAAAAAGGTGAGGCTCAAATTAATTTAGAAAGAAGGAAAAGGGTAGGCGGTTAGGATAAATGGGACCGGGATTAGGGCAAAAAAGCCAGTCTGTTGGCGAGGCCGTTGGATTAGATAGGGTCGAGTCTATAGCTCCGGATTGTCGGACGACGGTAGACAGTTCCAATCATAAAGAGCTTGTCCAGAAGGGTATGACAAGCATCCGAGTACTTTGAGCAGTACGGAGCCGGTACATGTTGCGAGATCGTCTCGTACTACCTCCGGGCGGGCAGGATGCAGTTCAACGACTGGTTGCTTGCAGCCACGTTCAGAGTTAGCCGTGCCACGAGGTTTCATTCGGGAACATCCGACCGTTCGTCGACCGTCACAAAAGCGATATAGTCCGGTCCATTTCACATTACTGCCTCTAATCAGTATGCCTCGTCAGCCGCAGGTGCTTTGTCCTCAGTGTCAACTTTGCGCACTCCCTTCATCAACGTCTTCGTAGTCATCGGAACCAACTCGTGCCAAAACACTTTCTTTGCGTATGCGTACTGCCTCGCGCACGGGGCTCCTCTCTACGTCGTCCGATGCTCGTGGACCGGTTTAAAGGCGACACCCGTCTGCACGCGTCTTTTGTCGGCGCAATTCCACACTCTGCGTCGACATCTTTGTGCTACGTCGTCGAGGTCAGCATAGTTTCCAGAGTACTGCAGACCCAAACCGCCCCGCGAGGGCACGTGGTTTGGTCTTGCGTCTCGTTTGCCCATGCTGTCGTGCAAAGAAGGCACCAAACGGAGCCACACAGTCACGCGAGGGGCTTTTGACAGCGTTTGTAGCACTACAGAAGCGACACCCGTCGCAGGCTAAGAAAGACAGGACTGGCTCGTCCACAAAGTCCTCCGTGCTTTCCACTTTAGGAGAGTGAATACTGAGGAGGTGGCGAGTCTCTCCCTTTCCTCCTCTCTAGCATTCACCCTGCTAGAGGGAAAAGAGAGGAGGCTCTGTGGGAGAAGCTTATGCTGTCCTTCCCAACCTGCAATGGGTCACAGCCTTGGCGACGTGGCAACGAGAAGGTCGGCGCCGGGCGCGGTTACCCGCGTCGGACGTCTAACTGAAGGTAGGTGCCCCCTCGGACGCAGATCATCAACCCCCAGATGCCGCGAGGGGGCTTCACCCAGAACGGGGTCCCGATCCCGGTGCCCCCGGAGGAAGTCCTGGGCCTCAGGAGCAACTACCAGGAGCCCGTCTATCTCGTGCTGTTTTTTTGACACCAAGAGAACCTGGTGAGAAAATCCCTGGCCGTGGGATGCCGTGCGACGTCGCACACGCATTCTGCTCGTCCCCGAGTTTATTGGATACAATAGAGACGTAATCGTCGCGAGAGTAGAAGAAAACAAGAATATAATTCTCCCGCTACTTCTCAACAGTTTCCAGCAATGATTGTTCAAGAATCTGTCAAGTGGCCGTAGCTCGTGAACCTAGCTGTCCTTGACGAGTTGTGGCATAAAATAGTTGCCGAGAAATAGCCCACCCAAAATCGAAAGCAAGTCGGGCGAAAATATGGAGGGGCCGACTCTCGGTGTGCGATCAAGACAAGTTGAGAAAATACTAGTTTTAGATTCTGTGCCTCGCAAAACTTGCAATTGCAGGGAGGGGCAATGAACCCTCCCTGCAATTTCCCAATCATTGATGCTCGCTTATCTCCCGTCTCGGCTAAGTAAAACCATTTCTGCCGAGGTCATTGTCTGGTCAGGGCCCTGCTATTACTAGAAATGGGCTATGTTTTGACATCTTTGAAAAGAATAGGAAATCATGCCAAAAATAGGGGCGGGTTATCTTTCGGGGGTGGGGCATCTCCCGGGATATTACGGTAGTTACTTGTCAACGTGTAGGTTCCCGTCAAGCTGTGTGAAATACCTCTATCTCCTGCTTCCATTATTACTACAGTGTGAGATAAATGTTTCTGTTACTTATCAGTATTATTATACATTTCCTTGTTGGAGGCCTTCTTCGACAAATGTGCTTGACAAGCTACACACAACTTGCTCGTCAAACACCCATGTCAAGGGAGGCCTCCCGTCAGTCGAGCGCGGTGCAAACGCCAATAGAAGGAAGCAGTAAAAGTACAGTGGCTTAAAGGGGGTAGTGTAACGAACGAAACCGGAGAAGCGGCACAGCGTTGGAAGACGGCCGCGGGTGGCGCTGGCGCTTGCAGCACACGTCGTTCTGGCTATGGCTGCGGCTTGGCCGCTTGGTCAGCTTGGCTCCGGCCGGTTTGCAGCTGTCGACTACACTGTCGTCTGCTAGCTTCACAGTTTCATTCTCCTTCAAACACAAATCATGTCGTTGGAAGTTTGCTGAAAACAAATAATTGTTTTTGAGGTACTTATATTAGTTATGAAGCGTGTTAGGGTGCCTCTATCTGCCGGCCGATTGAGGCACCCAACGGAGCTGCGGATCGAAGCGCCACCTACACCGTCTTCCAAGGAGCGGCCGTTCCT